AAACAAAATCTTGCAAAACATCGTAGGTGAAGAAAAGACTGGATTCAAAAGAGACAGGGGACATTTTGATCAGATTCTTTGACATTTTCGCTAATCTCACCAAAACCTTTGACTCAGTCTGAGAGCTACCTTATGGAAAACTGATTATCTCACCGAAGATTATTCGCATAATTCGAAGGATATATTATCTTTCGTCAAATACAGTGGGAGTTGATGGCAGGTTAGAAAACTTCTTTGTACAAAGTTTGAAGTATGGCAAGAGGGAGTGGAAACTCCATGCCATTTACGATGTTTTTATATTGTGTGACCCAGCCAACACGAAGGATTGAAATTACGGGTTCAAGAAGGGGAAACGTTTGCGTAAACGGTCTTGCATTTGTCCATCATATCATATCGCTTGTCGACAACCTCGAGGCTGTGACCTCTGAAGCGTAGGTGTCATGATCAGGGTTCTCGAATGAGTTAAAAACGGGACAAAAGACTGTTTGACTCTGCGCACTGAAGCTGTGGTAAAGGTACCACAACATCGGTGTCTGGTTGGTACATTAGTACATTAGCTCTGCAGACAGACAAATGACACAATGACACAAGAAATTAATAGGCCCTCTGCGATGACATTGGCAGCGAGCAACAAGTCCTAGAAGGACAAAGATGCTTACGATGGCTCAAAGCTACAGATGTGAGGAACTTGCATTTTTAACATACTTCTCAATTGCCTGGAAGCGGTTGCTCGTCATAAAGCACAAAGCAAAATGAAAACTTGATGATTAATACTGGAAGTGAAGTGATACATTTGCATGTTTAACTGAAGTAACCGACTGGCTGTAAAGAAGGCATTTAAGATGGTTGGACCATGCCTAACAAATAAACGGAATTCGTCCTATGAAGCGAGTAATGAACTCAGAGGACAGTGGTAGGCGGCGCCATAAAAACCTCCGATAAGATGGGAAGCTCTGTTTACAACTATCGTTATACGGAAACGACTGAACAGTGAATATGCATTAATTCGATCCCGATTATGATGCGCTATCACATAAGAAGTTCACAGCAGCGTCAGAAGGAGTTTCAGGTAGTTCCATTGAAAAATTCATGCTGAAAAGAAATGAACATCCCTTAAGCATTTGCAGTTTGCGAATGATATTCTGATCCTC